GAGAGAGAGAGAGAGAGAGAGACAAACATGAGGGACACAATGGTTAAGGAAAAAGCTGTTTCATTTTTGAACACACAACACCATGCATGTTAAGTGCTTATCTCAGCTGCACAGAGAAGGGAAATCCCGATTGGAAGAGAGGTAATTGTGGGGCACGCAGCATGCTAAGGGCTGCTGGTCTGATTGCAAGAAGATTCTGGGCAGCGTCTGTAAGGGTGCGCGAGGAAGGAGGTGATGCAATTCCCAAGGCAGACTGTTCAAACCCATTCCCCTGTTCGTGCACCTGTACTGCTCGGCGCCAGCTCCACAGACTCTGAGCTCAGGCCAGTATGCCTAGTGCTTTAATTCACTCATATTCTGGAATAAATTGGCTCTGGGATCGGGTTGAGCACTTCATTACCATTTACGGACCTGTTTCTATGGTTCTTTATAACAGAGAACAAGAGAATTTGGTGGTGGGGCCAAAAGCAGAACTGCTTATAATGAGCCATCTACCATAATGGTCAATTCTACCCGCAGAACATACAGTCTAGCTCCAATGAGGAAAGCAGGAGGAGGAGGAGGAGGAGGGGCGGGAGAAGGCTAGCAGGTAAAAGAGTAAGAAGAGAAAAATACTAATTCGTAGGTCAAAAAGGTAGCTTGTGGCTCAATGAGAATCCCACCTTCCCATTTTAGAATCCAGGTAATAGCTCACAAACAGGTAAAAGGTTCAATGTGTGTGCTGGGGAGGAGGGGGGGAGGGTGGTGGTGAGAAATAGTTCATGCAAGTGTTGAGAAGCATCAGAGGCTATACATATAAAATTAATAAAATCTGTACTTTGTTCCTGGTCTCCAGAAAGTCAAAATATATAATGTGCCCATTATACCATGTTCTTACCTCTGAGGGTGCATGAAATTAAAATTAAACACTGTTTTACCTGTTTTAAAAGGTCACATCCAAATTAAATTTACTTTTGTCCATAAATGAGTGATAATACTTGAAAACTTTAGACCATTGTAGTTGAAAAGAAGGACCAGTGCTTCGAACACAAAGCTATTTTGAGGATTCACAATAAACCAAATACTCACTTCCACTGAGTCAATTCTGAGTCATAAGACCCTACAGGCCAGGGTGGAACTGGCCCCATAGGTTGATGAGACTGTAACTCTTTGTAGGAGGAGTTAACTTCAACTTTCTCCTCTGCAGTGACTAGAGGTTTCAAACGGCTGTCTTTTTGGTTAGCAGCCCAACAAGTACAGCAGGTAATAAAGCGTAGTGCCGACAGATGTGGCCTGGCTAAGGCTTCGCATGGGAGAGAGGGGAAAACCCTCAGTGTGTGTCCCAAACTTGCGTACAAGGCTGATGGCTGACATGCTCGCCAAGCCCTTTCAGGGTTCTTTTTGTCCCGAGGCTGGGAAAGTTCTGTTTGTCTACTCTTCGTTTTGCTCCAAACTAAAGCCCTAGACTTAGGTGAAACCAATTAGAACTAGAATATTTAATAGTTTTCCATGGCAGATTACATGAGGAGGAGAAAATGCAGACAATGATTACGTGCAGCTTGCCTGAATAGAGAATAGCCCACGATGAATAGTGGGAGAAGGGCCCTTATTTCCCAGCGGTGCTATCACACGGTCCTATTATGATCCACAGGGTGGGAGGGGATGGAGCCGGGGGAGGCTAGCAGGCCACAGGTGTGGGACAGCGCCATGCTGCCAGAGCCTGCCACTCAATGACTGGCAGGTGGGATTCCTCAGTTTGGAAAGACTTCTCACTAATTTGAGAACACTAATGAGGGAACACGATTCAAAATAAATATTCTGGGAAATTCTTTCTTTCTTAGAAAGTATCATTGAGGTTTGAATGGGAAGGGCGGCATACTAATACTTTAATTAATAGTAGGAGTTATTTCAAGATCATCTCATGGTGGTTGGTTTTTTTTTAACCATTCTTCTGGGAAATTAAAACGTGTCAGGATTTCCACAAATAAACTCTTGGCCCTCCTTCTTTGGTGAGAGGAAGGAGGAATGCAGAATCAACTTGGTGCACAATATGTTGAAATATAAGGTATTCCCTACTCTTTCTATAATGATTTCCAGTTGCTTTGTAATTGTGAATAGCATATTATTTTGCTGAGTTATTTCTCCTGCCCCCAAGGAAATTTCTATATACATTGAAAATTTTACCTCCACACCTTGATTTGGGGAATAAGTTCAAAATTGCGCTGTAAAAAATATGTTCCGTATTTGTTGTTCATCGCCAACAATTGAATCCTGGAGAGTTCTCGAGAGTAGTCTGCATGAACTCGACCTATCTCCCTATGCACCCCTGACAGTAAAACCCTCAAAACACACTCCCATCGAGTCAATGCCACTCCTAATGACCCTACAGGGCAGGGTGGCCCTGTCCCTGTGAGTCTCTGAGACTGTAACCCTTTACTGGAGTAGGAGCCTTTCTCCCACAGGGCAACTGCTGGTTTGGAACTGCTGGTCCTCCAGTTTGCAGCCCAACATGTAACCACTAGGCCACGATAAGGCTGAGGAAAAAAAAATCAGATCCAAAGCTGTCTGAATCAGGGGTTTGAACTGGTCCATTCTGGGTCGATTCCCTGCTTAGCATTTATATCACTACCCTCGATGTCTACATTCCATTGTATGTAAAAATTACTACGGGGAATCTTGTTAAACGGTAGATTCAGTATATGAGGGGTGGAAGGGAAAATTCTCAACAGATGGTAGAACTGGAATGGATTGGTTCAAAGGCCTGTTTTGAAAAGTAGATTCCAAACAACTGCATTTTTGCTGCCTTATCGCCTCAGCTCAACAACCCATATCCATGCACACTGCTTGTCAGCCATCCATACATCAACACTTTCTCTGAAGGGCCGCAAGGGATCCAAGAAATAAGGGTATTTTGCAGTTAGGGGAAACCAGAGTTCAAATGGAGATCACTGGTACTTTAAAACTTCCCTCTGGCTTGAAGGGTCAGTGACTTAGTTATACACTGTTCTTTAGATAAAAAAATGAAAATACACAATATCTGTTAAACTTCTGGATGATACGGCTGATGATGCCACCTAAAGATGAGACAATGGTTTGTACAAGATAGTCTAACAGCTCTCAGTAAACCTATCCTGTAGATTCAGGTTCAATTCCTTGATGCTTTCATAGCAACCCCGGTAGAGTGGTTCTCAGTTGGAAGGGGCTTGATGGCAGAGAGTCCACATCTACTCAGTGATTACAGTGCTGCTGAGGAAGGCCCCACCTTAGGCAGGGGCATGGCTCCTATTTGTAAAATGGAGCATTTACCTTTCAGAAAGCAACTCATTGTCTCTCCCAGCATCCAGCCACCGGGGAGAGAAGGGACCACTGAGACCTGATGTCTCCCTCAAACGTTGCAGCTTTGTTTCAGCCTATCTTGTTGGCCCCAGGTACATTGCACGGCCTTTGAGAATATGAGCGCTGCACTAAGTAGAGATGGAGCTGCTAAGAATAAAGCATCCCTTGGGGAAACCGCCCAGGAAGTCACAAGCCGTGACTGGACAGGGGAGGTGGGGTTTCCAGCTTACCTTTTATCACTTATTTGTATTCTAGTCCAATACAGAGGCTTCATGGGACAACTGGGCTCAATGGCTGGCTTTCGAGGGCATTGGCTGGAAGGAGACCCGGTTCCAAAGAAGAGTCCAGGAGGAGGTGGGGGTGCCAGTCCTGGGGGTGTAGGAGGCGGCGGCCCCCCACTGCTGGGTGGTGGAGGTATATTAGGAAGTGGGGGTGGAGGAGGTGGCGGAGGAGGTCCAATACTTGGAGGAGGAGGAGGAGGTGGCGGGGGAGGTCCAATACTTGGAGGAGGAGGAGGTGGCGGGGGAGGTGGTGGTGGTGGCCCAGTACTCAGTGGAGTGGGCGGTACTGGTGGCCAAGATTCAAGGCCAGAGGGAAGTGGAGGAGGGGGTGGGATAAGGGCCGGCAGGGGTGGTGCAGGAGTGGGGGGCGATGTCTTCTGCTGATGAGATGAGCTACTTTCCAGGGGCAGAAGTGAGGCATGGCCATCTTTGCAGTCCCTTGGGGGAGAGAGTTGGCTTAAGGACGAGATGTTGAGCTTTTTGGGTACTGTGTGACTACTTCTGGTGGTCCTGCTTTCCCCTTCACAGGGCTTGAGGAAGGTCTCCCTGTCCGTCTGGATGCACACGTTCCTGTAGGTCTTCGGAGGGGAGTCGTCATCGGTGGAGATGCACACGTCTCTCATCTCGTCACAGCCTCCCCGCCATCGGTGCTCCAAATCGTGCTTGAGATGCTCAATGGTTTCTTCTAGTCTCGCAGTGGTGGCTGCATGCTCACCCCGGATGTGAAAGGCTCTGAGTTCAAATTGGGCCTGGGGGGCGATGTCAGAGAGAAAAAGAGGTCGAGGTGATATAGTCTGTCTGTCTCTTATTCTATATCATATAAGCACACACACACACACACACATCACCACCATTCCTGTGCCACTCTGGTGTGGCCAACATAAATGCAGGGACATGGAGACATTCTTTCAAGAATCCAAAAGGATATAAATTTCACTTTATGAATTTTCCAGGGACTTAAATAGTTGAAGTAGGAGCGTAATTTCATCCAATCTGAGCTCACAGGGGATAATTACCCGGGATTAAGGTTTGAAATAAAGCTGTCACCTAGGAACTTTCACCCGGTTTTAATATCAGATACAAAACAAAACTTTTAATAAAGGTTTGGACATGCTTGAATATCGCTTTTAACTTTGGGTTTGGGGTTGGAAAAATAAAACTCAAAGAAAGAAAACCGGGGAACGGGGATGGGGGTGGAGGGAGGGAGGGGGAGTGTAGAGACCCTTCTGGCCTGGACTGCCCATGCTCACAGTCATCCTTCCAATGTTTGCCTTTGTGGGGTTTCCAGGCCAGGAAAGCCGAGAAGGAGCCAACACACACTTTTCCTTTTCAGTTGTCCTATCAGCATTCCGTACATGATCTGTATGTGTGCCGGGTTCATAATCACTTAGACTACAGTGATACGTAAATGACATTAAACGCATAGAAAGCATGAGGCTACTGAAATTCGCCATTTTAGTCTTCTTTGCATACCCAGTATTTTAAATGAGAACGAATCAGACATCGGCCCTTTCAACACATATCCCTGCAGTTGTTTTAGATACATGATTCTACAGTTCACCATCCGTGAGCTGAGCCTCGGTACACTGTCAGTAATTAGCTGGTCTATTTTCTGACATGCAAAGCTGTTCCGCTTATTACCGTTAACTAGGAACCAATTAAATTTATAATTTCACGAGTTTCCGAAATCCAACTCAGCAGTAATTAAACCTTCTAAGTGCATTTCACGTCTGCCTCCCTCATCAGATTACAAGCTTCCCAAGATGTAATTAGAGATGACAGCCCTTCCCAGTTCTATTGCAGCCCAGCGAGTGCACCAGATTGAATGAAGGCATCACGCCCTTACACCCCCCTCTGCCCTGCTGCCTGCTCCAAGAGGCAGCCCGTGGTTGACTAAGGCTCTCTTCAGCTGCCATTTCAGCCCCTAAACAATGAAGACACAAAAGCACCAGGAAGGACTGATTCCGTTTTATATCAAGAAAGTAAATCCTGTTACAGCCTAGGTGGCACAAGGTAAAGAGACAGGGAAATTCGACTTTCACTAATACCACTTTTAATCTTATTTATTTTAAGTGAGTCTGTCTTTTACTGAATAGTCATTCTTACGAACTGGCTCCCACCTAGCTGTGAGCAGTAGGTTTTTTATTTTTGGACTATCCTTTTCCCATAGCGGGAGAGGGCAGGCCCGAAACAACCGGAAAGGACGGGAGGGCTCAGGGCACCTTCTCTTTCTCCCGTGGTATGGAGGACTCCGTGCCTGAGCTCTGGAGCCACACATGACCCTGGCTCTGCCACGCACTAGCTCTTTGATCTTGGGGAGGGGACGCTGTGTGCAATCAGGGCCACAGCGAGCCCCCTCTACGGTGTAAGGAGATCCCCTCAATGCAGAGCAGTAACCCTTAGGCCTGGACCGCAGAAAGTTAGCAAGCCTGTTGTCCAAGAGCATAGGTAAAAGGCTCACCCAGTTTTTATTATAATTCTAAATTTCAAATAATGCCACCCTTCGTTAAGTGATAGGCACACAATTTGAAAAAAGATAGAGCAATCAAAATAAGTCATGTACTGCGACCATAGGCACAGAAGAAGTTTTCCCAGCCATGCATGAATTCCACTTCCAATGGCTAAAAGTCATTTCCAACCTTATTCAACCATGGGGTCAAGATTGTCTCTCCCCCTTCCCACCACCCACCTAAACCCAGCCCTGATTTCCATCCTGAATCTGGAGTCTAAGAGGAAGCTTTTTAAAAGTGGTGAGAGTTTGGTTCTGCCATAAGAAATTTGAACTTTCGGTTTCTGTTGCCAACAAACCCCTAGTACAAGAAGGTAAAGATGCAAATGATTTGGTGACCCAGTAATTTTGAGCAATCCTCAACTTCTTAACCATAGGGGATGCTGCAAAGACGTGTTCCACAGCCAAAAAAAAAAAATGTGCCCTTTCCCACACAGCTGACCTGTCCCTACAGTAAAGGCCTTGGCCCCCACCTCTGGGCCTTTCCACCTCTCAGCTGTCCTTCTACGAAGGCTGCTGACACTGGCAGCTCAATGGCTAGAGGCTGCATTCATTCTTGTGGTGGTTGCACTTGAACGCACTTGTTTGGGGTAGTAAGTAGAGCAGCCAATTGACCTTGCTGTCAAATGTGCTAACAGGCAGGTAATAATGGCATCCACTTCGCAGAGGAGTGATGGGAAGCAGGGACTGAGGGGTGGGGGGTGGGGCAGCTTCAAACCAGTATTTCAGGGCATTCCACTTCCTCTTCATTCCATTTTTCCACGAACTCTCAGAAGAACTCGCACATTAGACGAGGTCCGTACAGAAGAGCGTTTGGAGCTCAGCGAAGGCTCCTAATGTTCGCTCCCACTGATCCTGGCCCTTTACTGACTGCCACATCACACAAGCAAGTGGCCGTGTCCTCTTGCCTTGAATCCTTAGCACGCTTCCCAGGACCCCCACTCTATCCACCGACAGCCAAAGGGGTTGTTTTAACTAACTGCCACTGAGTTGGCCCCATGTATGGCCACCCCAGATGCAACTCAACAAAATTGCCCCATCCAGCCCAATCCATCCCCGTGCTAGTGTGTGGACTGAACGATAGTGAGCCACAGGGTTTCCACGGCCCGACTTTCAAAAGTAGCTCTTCTCCATTTGACGAGCCAGGAAGTGCCTGAAACTTGTTAAGCATCACAGTCACTTGAGAGCCTCCACTGTCCAGTGGGTCGTTGCTACACATGAGGTGCACTGCCAGGGAAGCAAGCCCGGTTCTCCCACACGAAGGCCACAACTCCGAGAACCAGCCACCACTGCCTCAGGAGCAGACACAGATAAAAAGCCCGCTGTCAAACCCAGCCATCTACCACCCTTTCTCCCCTTACCGCTTTTCCTTCATAGCAAAGGGCTGTGAAGAACCAGAGACCCGCAGGCTTTGCTTACTTCCTTCCTTCTTAGCCACAGTTAACTGTTGCCCAGCCTTGGAATTCTCTGTGTCCCAGAGGGTCTGATACACCCTTCCTGCTTTTTCCTTCTCCCAGTCTGCTCGCCCCACCCATTCTTTGGACTCTCTTGCTCCCCTCACCCCTCAAATGTTCCCCAGACATGCTTTCCTTCTCACGCTGTACTCTCTCTGAGTGACCTCGTGTACCATATGCAGGCCGCATGGGCACCTCACCCCTCATCCCATCTGTCCCTTGGCAGGATCCACCTGCATGCTCGACCAGCCACTGCCCTCCATGTGGTTGAAACGGCACTCGTTGCTGCTGTCCAGCCTCCGCTGACATCATGCGCACAGCCCATGGCATCACCGGCCTCTGTCATCACACCCGGCAATATGGACTCCTGCTAAAGGCCGTGCCCACTCTCACTGCCCACACAAGACTTGGCAGTGGGTTCCATTCCTATTGCTCCTTTCATTGGGTCCTTCTCCATCTGCACAGTGGGAAGAGTCACCTAATTTCCCACTCGCTCCAGAGGGAATTAAAAACAACAACAACAACAACAATAAACAAACAACCAAACAAAACACTCATGCATATTCCTTTCAGGTCCTTCAGTAATTATGCATCGTTTATTAGTCTGGACACATTGCAAACTCTCCGATCTGTTTTCTGCCCACTTTCCCCTCCTTTGGCTCCAGTCCCTCTTTGCCATACATGTCCTGAATTCCAATCTTAAGTGCCTGTTTGCCCCCTGAGGGCCGTGTTCTTTCACACATCCAAGTCTTCATACACAGGGGGTAACCCCCCCCCCAAAATGGAATCCCCTCCCCCAAAGCTATGTATTTGTTTTTTTCAAAACAACCTTCTCACCTTCAAAGTCCTCTCCATGACACTTAATTCGTTTGTCAGACTTGATCTATGGCAGATGGTTTGGCTTTGGGTGTCATATGTATTTCTATACACATGCGATGACGAATCCAAAAATTGACCAAAGAAATTCATTTACATGATTCATTTACATCATTCCATGATGCACACCTTCCTGACATGATTGCTGA